ATATATAATATAATTTATATATAAAAATTATTTAAAAAAACATCATTTTATTTTTTTAACTATTTGGTATCTAAAAATAGCAATATCGATTGATCATTAAGATATTTTCTTAAAGTTTTTTTTTGAAATATACTTATGTATTCAGTAAAATAAAAAACAATATTTTTAAGAAAAATAAAAACATCGACATTTTTGAAAATTTGTTTTAATTTCTTCTCTGATTTTTTCTCGATCTATTTCTTTCTATAATATTTTCGGATTTTTATACATCTCTAATTGAAATCTGAAACAATTAAATCATTTATATTAATAATTATAAAGAGTTATACGTTATTCTATTTCTGTTATTATTTACAAAAACAAACAAAAATAAAAAACGTATTTATATGAACCAGATATATACGATAATCTGAAAAATCGAAAACCTTAGAGAATTTGTCTTGAAATTGAGATTTAACCTAATGATCGAATTGGATTTCCGAAAATAAAATTGAGGTTGATTAAAATTTTTAATTTAAGTGATTTATTAAGATTTACGGTGAAAAAAATTAATCATCAAAAAATTGATAAGAAATTGAAGAAATGAATCATCAATTGAGGGATTTAGTACTAGAAAATGCTATGATAATGTTAAAAAATATTTTTTATTTACAATATTTTTTATAATTTTTAAGAATTTATTCTGAGAATTTCAATTCTTAAGAATTTCATTTTTCTTGAAAATCTCTAAATTCCGGAAAATTTCTTTATTCTCGAAATATTTTCAGGATCCGAATCGACTCAATATGATTTTTTCCTATTTAATTCAACTTTTTTTATTCCGATTTTTCAAAATTTTTGGATCTTCACATCTTAAGATCAACAAGATTGATTATAAAATATTTTATTAATTATTGAACATACGTGAGAAAGAATAAAATATTTTGTAATTGTCCTTTTAAATTTTTGATACAAAAAACAATATCTATTTCATTTAAATAATTCAAGAACAAATTGATATTTTGTTATTTAAAATATTTTATTAAAATATATTGTTTTTCTTGATATTATTACATGTTATAAAATAATAGAATAATGTATAAATATTATAAATTCTAATTATTGAATAATTAAAACATAATTACATGTATATATAACATTTTTCCAATTAAACTTTGTATATGCATGTAGTCCTTAGTATCTTGTCAATATATTCTATAGATTAACAGAAAAAAAAAGTCATATCTTATTGAAAATATTATTAAAAAATTATAATAATAAAATAAAATATGAAATGAACGATAAATGTGTGTTAAAAAGTATTATTCTTTAGTTGAAATAAAATAAAATCAAAATGAACTTTAAAGAATTTTGAATTTATACTTTATACTTTTACGTTGTTTATATTCATATATATATTAGAATTATTTTGAAATGAAGTTATAAATGGAATTATTAGATCTAATGATTATTAGATATAAATATTGTTAATTTAATCATATTTTGTTATATTATTATAACTTTTTAATAATATTTATGATATGTATTTATATAACATTTTTTTTTTATTTTGATCTATACATAGTGTATAGATCACTATACTATAATATACATAATTAAAAGAATATTATGTATATTACTATATTATTTGAGAAGTTTTTTCATATTTATTATATAATAATATATATTATGTTATATATTATATAATATTTATTATATAATAATATATTTTTAATATATTTTTTTGTTAAATTAAATATTAATAATTTAAACATTTTTTTTTTGTTAAATTAAATAAAATGTGTAATATCTTTTTAAAAGACTATAATCATAAAAAAAGATTTTATAATTCAATCAACGAATAAGATAAACGATTAAAGATTTATTAATGTTTTAGGCATATCATATTTGTCATGATGGTCGCGAAGGTCATCAAGGTGCTTCTTTTCTCTGCACAAATGGAACTCTTTTTAATCAACAAGAGTTTGCTTGTGATTGGTGGTATAATGTGAACTGCGCTGATGCACCAACTTTATATAGGTATAATTATATATTTTGTTAAATAAATATGATATTAAATTTTCTAAATATTCATTTTATTACGAAGAAAAAAAATGAAACTATAACAATAGTTAATGGACTTAAAGAAAGAAAAGACTATAAATTTATTCAATTATAATAAATTTATTAAATTAATTATTTAATGTTTATTGATTATGATTATTTGATTTTTAACATAAAATTTTTTAACATGAAATTTATTTTGCAATACTTAAATGATTCTGATAAAATTTCATTCATTAAACAGATTTGATAAACACAAGATTTTATATAAATATATGATTTTTTTTAAAAATATAAAACATAAATGAAACGTAAAACACATTTGAACGTTCAATATTAAGTATTTGTTTAAAATGTTTAAATGCTTCATTTTTTCCGATTTGTAAATTAGTAGATAATATCAAGATGTTATCTACTAATTCCTAGAACTCCTTCAGCTGGTCGAACGTTCGCTTTATCTTAAATTCAAAACAACAAAAAGAAGTATATTTCACTCATTCTTATTATTTCTCACTCTCCCTTCAAACACAATTCGATATATGAAGCAGTAAAAATGATTCTTAAAACAATCACCTTCCCATATGAGAAGCGCAATTCCAATCTGTAACACTTACCAGATTCAAGCAGATAATACTGTAGTTTTAAATGATAAAAAATTTTCTAGCATAGGAATATTTTATATTGTATTATATTTTATATTTGTGTTAAATTTTAAAAATATTTTCGAAAATTTATTCGAAAGCATTACGAAAATAGTTTTAAATTTGATTAAGTTTAAAAAATATTTAATAAAAATATATGTATATACGGTATTTTATTGTTCAAACAGTCATTGATTCTTTATATTGACTCGACAGTGCCATAACTTTGCATAATAAATGTTAATATTATTTTATTATATTATATTATTAGGTCATTATACTCAATTTCTATATATAATATTCTATATATTAATATATAATATTATAATATAATATAATAATATAATTATATATATAATAATATTCATATAAAATATGATATATTTATTCTTTTTGAATATTTTCTTGAATTCAAAACTATATAATATCATATCATTTGTGCAATAATTTAATAAGAAACATTTAGTGGATATTATAAAACTGAAAAGTTTGTATTGTAACTGTTATTACAGTTTCTATCATAAAGATAAATCCGGAAATGAAATTACTTTAATATCGAAATCAATATTTGAAAAACGTAAATTTTTATAGAAATAAACGATTTTGAAAAAAAAATTAGATATCATATAAAAATTAAAAACTTTAAAATTAATATAAGTTAATGTAATTAGAAAAGTATATTATATACTAATAATAATTTATTTATGTTAATAATTGATGATATTTTTCTTTAAATATTCACTCTTCATCAACGAATGTATGTATTTTTATATTTCTTATTAAATCATTATCAAATGAATTATTAAAATTATTTCAAATAATTCTTCGGAAATATCTTCAAATAAGAAAATAAGTTATAAACGCCTATATATAAATTTTATATTTGAGATCTGAAATGATGCTTTAAATGATTTGTCAATTCTATTAAAGAAATTATAATTTCTCTTTTAAGATTTTTTATATATAAAGATAAAAGAAAAAATTTTATTTATAAATAATATAATATCCAAGAAGTTAAATAAATAATAATAATATATTTCTGTATGGACTATTATATTTAACAATTACAAAATTTTTAATGAGATGAAATATTATATCTTTCTATTTAAATTGAAATTTAATATAATTCAATAATAGATTAGATATTAAAAATTTAAATCGATTCATTTAAATATTTAGAAAATTAATTATACTAAAATATATTTTAAACCAAAATTTCAAGAGACGTATCTCTAGATAGAAAATATATTTATATGAAAAAATTAAATTTGATACTTTGAATAATACATTTCTTAATATATTAGTGGATGTATCAAGTATTAGCTACTTCTTATAAACAAAATAATATTATATAAATATATGTATTATTATTATTATATATTATCATTTATAGTAAAAAAATTATTTATAAGAGATTAATAAGAGATACTTTCACCACAAACGCAAAATATCACAAAGTATAGAATAAGATATTATAAAATAGTAAGATATCACTTTATTCATGTATCTTAAAATGAATGATATTTACAAAAATTTTATAAATATAATTATATTATTTATATTAAGGATGAAAAGAATTTCTTCCTTATTAATATGCATGTTTAAGCTACTTTTTAAGAATTATAACTATTTATCTGAATATGGCAAAATGATAAGATAGATTAAAGAAATGAAGAGATTTTATTTTTTATTTTTTTCAAAAAAATCAAAGAAAAAAATTTGTATAATAAAAATTTGTAATGTAAAAAATATTGATTTAATATCAATTTATTATACATTTATTTAATATGAATTTCTTAATTTAAGATCATTGGATCTTAATAAAGTTATTGAATTTGTCTTAAAATCATCTGCAAAATTATCAAAAATACATACTACCAAAAAGTTTGCAATTACTTTAAAAAATTAAAATAACTTTGATTTTTCATTGAAATAAAAATTTTTTCAAATTTTATTATGAAATTTGAAAACTGAATTGGAACTTTGAAAACTACTTAATTTTTGTTCGAAATACTTTTTTGTTAGATTAATCCTTCAAAAATCATGAATACTAAATTTAAATCACTTTACATATCTTATATATTTATAGATCATATATTCTTTTATATTATATTTATATTATTAAATATTATTATATTATACTTATATTTTGTTTTACATATCGTTTGAATATGTTTCGCATATTTTATATATATATATTATAATTGTACAAATATTCGCAGATAGTGGAATTATGAATGCAAATGATTCTAAAATTTTTTTTATATTTAAATATATAAACAAAGTGTTGCAAAAATTGAAAAGACTTAACCAAATTCCTAACATGATTTTAAGCAATTTTTTTTTTTTACGCAACAGTTCTATATGTTCTATATATTAAAAATTAAGAGTTAAGAGAATTGATTTATAAAACGATTTATGATTCCGATAACTTGAATTTCATTTTTCAATAGCTTCAGCATTTAATAATTTTAGATTCTCAATAATTTATCAACGAAAACAGTTTCTTTATATTATTCTAGACTTTTAATAATAATTATTCAAGACATAATAATAATGATCATTTGATAAATCATTGCGCGTCAACCAATTGTCAATCAATCACCGAAAAAATCGCAACGATTTTTTTTCTCTAATCTCCAATGCGATTTCATTGATTCCCTCTTATTCCGGTTACATTTTTTTCAAGAATTAATTATTTCCGAAAAGTAGAAAAATTCGCAACAATTTTTTAGAAAAGCACTTAACAATTAAAAATTAACAATTAGAAACTAATTAGAATTTATTTTAATTTAGTTACAAATAAATCAGCTAATCAGAAAAACAGTTAGATATCAATTCATTATTAAAGTTGATTAAAAATTTACGATATAAACAGTCTCACACTGAGTGATTCTTTGAAGTACAATATTTAATTCAAGTATTTTTTTTGTACAATATTCAATTTAAACTTTATACATGGTGATTGGTCAGAATTTTCATTAATTTATTGTGAATTTTCATTAATTTATTGTGAATTTTCATTAATAATTTTCATTATTAAATTTGTGCTATTATTCTTATTTCTATTTTATTATTGTTCATTATTATTGATATGTATTAGATATAAGTGTATTAGATAATAAGTGATGGTTTTCTTTCTATCCAGATATATAAATACTGTTATTTGAAATTGATTAGATATTTTTTTAATTGTATAAGCATATTTTTTATACCATCCATTGATCAGTTGACATATTTTCATATTTTATTTGCATATGATTTTACTATTTCTGGATCCTAGTTTCTATTAAAGACATAATGTTCAGAATATTTTTGCTGTTATTTAAACATATTGTATCCAACTGGCATTTTTTCTTTCATAATGTGTTTCTATTTATAATTTTTATAATAGCTAATTAATTAATTAATTAATAATATATATATTATAATAATTAATTAATTTATAACTATTTTATATTAATTAATTAATTTATTATTATTATACAATATAATGTTCTTCCAAGGAGCAGAAAGTAATACATCTGTTCTGCTCTATATCGGGAACATGATTAATATTTTGAATATCAATAATAATCAATATTATTATTCTTTATATTATGGTTTATGTTAACCATAACATTCTATATTGTGATTGTCGAATATTGTTGTTTTCTTTAAAAAAAACGAACGTTTCGTTCGCAGCAATTTCATTTAAACTTCATTCTATTCACTATTATATTCTGCATCAGAAAAAAAAAGTTTATAAATATATTTGCATAAATATTCTTCAGATAACGAACACCTCGATATTCTTTATTTTAGACAAAAATTCTAAGTAAGGCATTAATATTCTTTTTAATTATATCTTATCTTATATCTCTCTATTGTGCTTTTCCTTGGATTCACTGAATCTAAATTCTCTTCCTTTACTTGAATTTTTTGTCTTGAATCTTTCTTTTTTTTAAATCTTCTCGGACAATTTTAAATTCGATTAAATTCCCTTTTCAACGCTCCGAGACACTTTATAGCATTATTTCAAACTATCTTATGTCAATAATTTTATCATTCCTTTTAAAGTAAATCAGGTTTCAGCATATCTCTTCAAACAATATTTACCTATAAAATGATATTTATCATTTTTGATCCGTTATTAGACCATCATGTGTAATAAGAGCAAATCCTATTGTTCGGAAATGCAATTTTTTTCCGAATCCAAATTCGAAAAAATATTTTCGCAAATGCACTTTATCGAAACCATCGATAATAAGAACATACTTTAATATACGTTTTGCTATAAAATATTCTTTTCTTGGATGAAAACTATTCCATTCAATTTATATGAACTTTTATTGA